TTCATATATGCCCATACAGTGTTTTAAGCACAACTTGCTTAAAGGTTGTATTTTAACTTTTTCTTTTATTAAAATGGCAACATGTAAAACCAAAGAGGTTAAACCTAACTATGCTTATTTCCAACTGTCTGCTTTCACCCACTATATTTTGAAGTTGGCTTGTTACAACAAACCATAACTGAGATTAACCACATAGTGTGGGACTGGTTGTTTTTTTTCCTAACAAGTTGTGGTTAATTAAAGTGGAGGTGCAAGCTTTCACACATTTCCTTGTAACTGCACTGGAAGAAGAGTGTGGAGTTAGACTGCAGATGTATGAGGGTTGTTGTGATTCGCTGTTGTGTTGCTAAACCATGCTGTAACAAGAAACCATGGTTTTACATGCCATCCCAATGAAGGTGTAGTCTAAGAATTAACCTTCCTATCCCACATGAACCTCTATTTCCCATGCATAAAGTGTATTTTTCATAATTTTGGGGGGTGATTTTACTGGGGAAGAATGTGATAAATAGTCACAGAAATGAGTACACGCCCTCACGTTTCAGAAATATTTTAGTATATCTTTTCCTGTGACAGAAAAATTTTAGTATATCTTTTCCTGTGACAATATTGAAGAAATGACACTTGGCTACAATGTAAAGCAATGAGTATACAGCTTGTATAATAGTGTAAATGTGCTGTCCCCTCAAAAATAACACAACCCATTAGTGTCACAAGTCTCAGGTGTGAAGGGGGAGCAGGTGTTATTGCTCTCACTGTCTCAGACTGGCCACTAGAAGTTCCTCATGGCACCTCATGGTAATGAACTATTTGAGGATCTGAAAAAACGAATTGTTGCTCTACATCAAGATGGCTTAGGCTATAAGAAGATCGCCAAAACCCTGAAACTGAGCTGCAGCACGGTGGCCAAGACCATACAGCGGTTTAAGAGAACAGGTTCCACTCAGAACAAGCCTTGCCATGGTCGACCAAAGAAGTTGAGTGCCCATGATCAGTGTCATATCTAGAGGTTGGCTTTGGGAAATAGACGTATGAGCGCTGCCAGCATTGCTGCAGAGGTTGAAAGAGTGGGCCGTTAGCCTGTCAGTGCTCAGACAATATGCTGCACACTTCATCAAATTGGTCTCCAGGGCTGTCATCCCAGAAGGAAGCCTGTTCTAAAGATGATGCACAAGAAAGCCTGAATACGATTTGCTGCGGACAAGCAGACTGAAGACATGGATTTCTTGAGCCATGTCCTGTTGTCCAGTGAGACCAAGGTAAACTTATTTGGTTCAGATGGTGTCAAGAGTGTGTGGCGGCAACCAAGTGAGGAGTACAAAGACAAGTGTGTCATGACTACAATCAAGCATGGTGGTGGGAGTGTCATGGTCTGGGGCTGCATGAGTGCTCCTGGCCAAGCATGTCTCCAGACCTAAACCCTATTGAGCATCTGTGGGGAATCCTGAAATGGAAGGTGGAGGTGCACAAGGTCTCTAACATCCACTAGCTCTGTGATGTCGTCACGGAGGAGTGGAAGAGGACTCCAGTGGCAAGCTGTGAAGCTCTGGTGAACTCTATGTCCAAGAGGGTTAAGTCAGTGCTGGAAAATAATGGTGGCCACAGAAAATATTGACACTTTGTGCCCAGTTTGAACATTGTTACTTAGGGGTGTACTCACTTTTGTTGCCAGTGGTTTAGACATTAATGGCTGTGTGTTGCGTTATTTTGAGGGAACAGCAGATTTACACTGATATACAAGGTGTATACTCACTGCTCTACATTGTAGCCAAGTGTCATTCTCTCAGTGTTGCCACATGAAAAGATATACTAAAATATTTATGAAATGTGAGGTATTATACAGTATATCTGTGATATACTGTATAATACATGAAAAGAGTTAGGAGAAATGAAAAGTCTCTTTTCTCTCCTGTCCTCCCTTGCCAATACTGGACGTGAGTTGGACTGAGAGACAATTGTGTAGAAAGCAGTGGAGTCACATATGCCACACACTGAACATTTTTTGAAGCTCCTATGAAGAGAATCATAATTTGTTGGTTGTCACTAACTAAACAATGGAGAGGTACAGTGTCATTCTTGTTTCCACATTCTGTCCTCAGTTTAACAACAGCATAAAGCATGATGCTGAAGTAATGTAGAGTTGCAGCCGTCCATCCAAATATATATAATTGATATAGCAGCGCAAATCATCTAGTTGATTTCTTTAAACTACAGGATTTTATTAATGCTTTCTTCTTCTTTTGGAAAACAGATACATCTTGTATGGAGAAGTTGCTTTCTAAAGACTGGAAGGAGAAAATGGAAAGATTAAACACAAGCGAACTCCTTGGAGAAATTAAAGGTACAGTGTAAATTAAACATTAGCTTATATACTGAAAAGTGGTTCTGTACATTTTAAGCTAATATTAAAGCTTCCTATTGATATCCATCTTGTATCTTCAATAGTTGTAAGTTTTCAAAATGATAGACATGTTAGTCTGTACAAGCATATCTCACAAGAAACAAAACAACACAAAACCAAAGTGACAGTTGGTTGTTGTAGGTTTTTCAGGCTGTTTGGCCGTGTTCTGGAGGTTTTTTGTTTCTAACATTTCCCCAGTCTCTGTGACCGGCATCTTCAGAGGACAGGAGTTAGAACTCTGTGTTCTGGTGTGGTGTGTGGGATAGCAACAAACAAGTGACAGTTGTTTGTTGATAAAGGAACATCTGACTATGGATAACAACACAATCAGAGTAGCATTCCATTCTTGCCAATGATTTAAAAAACCTTGGCTGATATTTAATCATTTCAAATGGGTTCCCAGCATCTGTAGGTATTTTATCTCAGCTGTTTCACTTTGAAGTGTTGTCCTGCATGTCCTGCGTGTTCTGTCCTTTTGTACAGAACCAGCTTTCAAAGGGAAAGAAACCTAATTAAAAAGTCTTAATATCAATCAGGGTTCTGAAGTCATTACCAAGTGTGAAAAGCCCCACTGATTCACACGATTTGCAAGTTGTGTCTACTATACTAACCAACCATTGTCATTTTGTCTTTCTGTATCCCCACTTGGTCGTGGGACAATGTATAAATGACTGTTACATCGTCTCATGTATGTCTGAAGAAATGGACAAAAGTTCATATTAAAATGGCAGTTAGTCTCAAGGTGCCACAACATTTTTGTAACTCATTTTTTATTTTGTTTTGTTTTGTTTCTTGTCTGAATCGTCAAGAATGCTAACATGAATTTTATCCTAGCTGGAGGTCATCTGAGGATACTGCCCTTATACATGTGGATTTTATTTTATGTTTGGTGAATCAGATCTGTCTCAGGATCACTGAGCTTTGCCGGTTGAGATCATGCTCTTAAGGTCTGCACTGGTCAGTTTTAAGCTGTGCAATTCATGGATTGCTGCCTTGTCATGGCGAAGGGGCTTGAGTAGCTCAGAGAAGCTATGGGCTATGCCATGCAGGGCCACTCAAGACGGACAGGTCATAGTGGAGAGTTTTGACTAAACGCGATCCACCTGGAGTAGGAACTGGCAATGCCACTCCAGTATCTTTGCCAAGAAGGCCCCATGAACAGAAACAAAAGGCTAAAAGATATGACGCTGGAAGATGGGACCCTCAGGTC